TGAATCTGTTTTAGTCAACATTCGGAAAAGACTAGCACGATTCACATTTTGATTAAGAAAGATTTAACTTGCGTTGAAGCGAATACGATTGCAAGTTCCCTACACAAAATGAACATCGGATCAACAGTGGGTGAATGGGCCCGGAAACTATACCACTGATTACTAAGTCGCTTCTCCCGCTCCAGATGGTGGAATTAGTCAGCTGTGATTGATGTATGTAAGACAGATCGATAGTTGCTGGGGTTTTGAGGTTTTACCGCGTTTGGGAATGTAAAGCATCGCATCGGTCTCGCAAGGCGTAGGGGAATACCCTAAATCCGAGTGGTATGCAGATTAAATGTCCCAGAATGGGAACGTGTTCCAGAGCACACATCTTGACAACAGTAGAGAGATTCAATCAGGTCCCGGTGGCTTACATGTGAAGATTAAGAACATGATCTGTCGTACTCTGTTATGCCTGTGTGAATATGGGAGTTGGGTTGAATAAAGTTTACAGTTTAGCACTCAATACCTCTGTTTGTATTAGTCGTCCTGTTTTGATGGCTTGTAACATTTATGGGCCTTGCGATTTTTTGGACTATCATTCAATCTTTTTCCGTTATGTATTGAATTTTATACCTAAACAAACAAAAGCGTGAGCTAACACTTGAACTAATCTTTTCAGTTTCTGTGCGCAAGTTATTTGACGACGAATCTCCTCTCGGCCTTTTGTTCCGGTGGACCGAAAAAGGACCCGATCATTTTAACCAATTGTTGGGTGTAAAGCGATTGGTTCTGCAGGAAAACGAAACCGGTGATATTGAGGTAGGTCTAAGTGTTATCAAAATGAAACACTGGTCGGCTGTTTTTGATACATCTACTTCTTGGTCTTCCAGTTTGATCAATTGCTTTCAGAACCATTGGTTTCCGTGTTTTCATTAGTTCCTTCTTCCCGTTGTTTGACTGTTGGGTAATACCGTTCTCTCAGACAGATCTTCGAATTAATTACTGAGCGATTGTAGTCAGGTGTTCAAGGTCACCTAAACAGTGACTTGGATGTCCTAAGTTGGAACCCCCGCCACAGTCGCCCCTGTTCCTCATTTCAGTATTTTCCCTAGACAGCCGCTAAATGAACGCTTCTTGAATATTGGTTGTGCCTTTGCATACTTAATAAATAAGAATTAAGTAAAAACATTATCATTAGTATGATTATTACATGCCGCTTTAGTAAACACTCGATCCGCCAGCTTCTGGGACAAGATAGGATTGTGTGAGTCGGCCCGTGATCACCTCTACGAAAACCATGGAATTAACGAGTTGATTTACAATTTCGCTTCCTCATCGACCTCTGGAAAAAGATGCTCCAAACCAAAGAAAGGAAATCGCCATACGTACTTCGTAAGGTTGCATGCACACACCTACAGCTTCTGCTACTTACGTTCGACGATTCTGTTATCGACTAATTCGATCGGTTGAACGAGAGCAAGTTTGTTTGGCTGTGTCCAAGTTTTGTGTTTGTGCTGGTTATTGAATGTCAGATTTTCGCAGGGTTTCATTGTCCTGTCAAATGCTGACAGTAACTTTTTCAGCCTGCCTATATTAGAAAATATCTCTTCACAGCTTTTACCATATAACGCGATATCTATCTAGTACTGGCTGTTTCACGTGATATGCACGGTTGCACCATTCCAACTGCAGATGTCTATCTTTTCGGTATTCGACACTGATTTTATCAGTTTCAAAACCACTCTATCCGCGAATATTCGGAAACTCCTGGTACTGTCAACCGATGGCAGATTTTGGAACTGAACTATCAGTATCTGTCATTAGTTTTACAATTTCTATGGTTCCTATTTCTGGCTCAAAGGTACTAGTTCACCCGAACCTTATTCTGGTCAGCAGTTGACTGTCACATATTGGTGCACCAGCTTGCTAACACTTCCGTTCTCGTTGGCAGCCCACTCTGTCCTATCCCGTTTTTCACGTCAAAAGACGGATAATTTAGAATCATTCATCAATGTCCAGTGCACTAATAGTCATGCTAAATAAAAAGCATTATTCTTGTTCTCTGTTTCTTCCCACTTTCCTCCTTACTCAAAGTTCAATATGTATACAAAAGATTCCCACTCTTATATACTTCGACAAATTGGTCACTGTAAACTGTCTTTCTTTGACATTTTTCATCTACGCGCATGTACTGTGCGCACTGCTCTGAGTGAAGTGCAAAGCTTTGGCCTCTGGGACCCAACTATGGATCGTCGACTTTCGTCACCACCCACTCACGATTTTCGCCTGAAAGATTTTTTCAACCATCTGTGTGTGTGCGCGCGCCTCACCCGGTGGACGCATCACGGATGAAGTGTCAGCTCGCATACAGAAGGCTCGGTTGGCACTTGCCAACTTGAGACATCTGTGGCACCGTCGCGACATCCGATTGTTTGTGAAGGGTCGAGTGTATGCTGCAGCAGTTCGGCCAGTTCTGATATATGGAGCAGAGACTTGGCCATTAAGAAAACAGGACAAAGATAGACTGTCGGTGTTTGAACACCGCTGTCTATGTAGCATTTCACGAATCTGGTGGGGCAGCCGGACGAGCAATGCTGAGATCAAGCGCAAAGTTTTAGGCAACCGCGATCGCCCACTGGAGCAGGTGGTTGACCTCTATAGATTACGTTGGTTGGTGTATGTGTTACGCATGTCACCAAATAGGTTGCCACGGCGAGCAATGTTCGCCGAGGCAGGTAGTGGGTGGAAGAAAGTCAAGGGTGATCAAGCTAAGACCTGGTATGAGGGTATGAAAACCCTGACCATGAGTCTGGGTCACATAGGTCCCGTTAGGCTCCTTGGATGGGGACCTCGGGATGGTGGTACCCGATGATTAGAGGCACTGAGTGATATGGCTGGGTGTCGTAAACAGTGGCGTTCGTGCATCTTCTCAATTTCTCTGTAGCGTTAGTCCACTGAACTTTCAATTTTCTCTTCGATCCTACTTTCAACCTTTCCTGTCTTTCTTCTAATGTTCATCCAAATCGGTTGCCAAAAGACGGTTACCAAAAGCGTTTCACCGGAATGTATGCTTACGGGTTGTTTTAACTGAACCGAGCTGAACTGTGTGTGCGCACGCCTCGTGACTTTTATCCCACGGGTATATCCCTTTTAAGGACCGTTTCCGGTGGTCTCGTCTATGGGATAAAGTGTATTCTCGACAACACTCGCCATTCACGATCACGACAATTATAGAGACCCTCCCTATGGATCTCATTCCTACCATTGCTGGATTGACCTCGAATACTGGAGACTACTAGAACGCTTGAGATGACCGAATTATTTATCACACCGTTTGTGTTCTAGCTCTGAGTGTCACAGAGACAGCGGTCCAAGCCTTCTCAGATCTTACGCATCTGATATGGGCCTAGTGATGCAAAAAGAAGCACTGCTAGCCTCTCGTGCTGTCGTACATTCATTTGTTCTACTAGGTCACTCCACAAATTACTCTCTATTTCATCGTTCTAAATGGCTTGGGAGTGAAACTACCCGAAGGACATGTTCGCTACCGAATTGTGTCGTTGTTATTATTATGAATGTGAATGTGTTGGTAGTTCGTTTTTATTCAGTTCATCAGTTGGATAAAGTGCACGCATCCGTTTTATAAGCTCACTGACACGGAATGCTAGGGTTCGTGTGCGTATCCGCGAGCGCATATGTGGTCGATTTTCACACATACCGTCCCCGTTCTTGTCACACCACTTCTGGTATTGTATTCACAATGCGATCGATCACAAATTTCGGGGCCTCATTCGTGAGGACTGTTTATTGGTGAATCAATTACTCGGTTTGCTCCTCTGTCTCTGATTGTAACACGCACATACAGTTCTCTTGGCGTCTAACTCGGACACCCGGTTGACCTAATTTGAGTGATACATTTTATGTATAGTTAACTCCTTACATTTGAATCAATTAACATCAGTACTGGAAGTGATACGTGTGCTGTGTTGTGTTTCTCTACTTTGGGCTCATTTTCCCATTCTGTACTGTGATTTTTTATGCACTATTAGTCGGGTAAACGAAACGTTACTTAACCCACCTGGTTTAAATTTTTAAACTCTTCATGGAATACATTTTCATTTTTTTGCTCACCGTTTCCAACTGGTCTCATTGGGTCGCAATTTTCTATCCACAATTAGGTGTGGTAATTGTCGGGACTTAGACTTATAAACTACTCTAAGATGGACATCTCACGTGCAGCAAAATTTAGTCAGTCCTCTTTCCGAATACGCCAAGGGAAGCTGGTTCAAACTCCACATCAGGTCATTTCTGAGCTTGTCTTTCAATGTGTTCTTCCTATAATGTTCCCCAAATTCTCCCGGTCTTCTGGAACAAAACTTTGAACCTTGACGCCATGAATAACGAATTATTAGTTGTATTTCATCCCCCTCCATCTATGCTTATCTTACTGAATTTACCAATCAATATACTGATTGTTGTTTACCTTTGGTCCACAAGACCCCAAGTATCCATTACCGAAACATTCATCACCTTGTCGCTCTCCGTCATCCCTCCACTCGGAATTTCGGTAACTTTCTCTTAGAATAAGCTTCTACAAAAACTCCTCTGTGTTGTACCTGGTTCGGATTCTGGTGAGCGTAGACAGACTAGCGAGAGTTACTAACCAAATTTGAACGTAAAGTTGAACTTGCGTGTCTTCATTTAATTACTTTCGGTTTTTCCTGATTATTATTGTCATTATTAGTATTCATATTATTCTCACCGCACATTTTTTCTGAACTACACTCACTAATTGAAATGATCATTTACGCGCCAAAAGGCCATACACGCATCCTAGAACGATTTTTTGACTTCAGGACAAATTTCATGTACAGTAAAGCGGTTACATTCGTGGTCGTAGAGATAACTGCACAGTGGAGTTGCGGAACATTCATGCTGAACACAACTTGTCGATTCTGCGCTTGAATAGTGATCGGTTATAGGAAGGAAAAACGACAGGGGTGAGTACTCCACAATTCTGCGGTTCTTGGAAAAAGAGAATATAAACGCCACCCTTCGACAGGTTCTCAAAGTTACTTGATTCTGATTTTGACTTAACGCTTCTGACTTGGTCTCGTAAACAACAACCTTTGCAGAGAAAATCCGTTGTGATAACGATAGAAAATGGACAAAACGGCAGTCTCACACTGACGGGAAAGTAGTCCAAGAGTAGATGTCGGTATTGAATTGGCCACAATATAAATGACTTTCCGCTGAACACAAACTAAAAGTGTCGAAAAAGAAGAGGAGCTCCCACTCCAGGCACGGTAACGATTTTCCGTAGCAATTGGGCCAGGGAAATAGCGAGAAGTAGAGAGGGTAAGGAGTTCTTTCACACGGAAAACGTAGAAAATATTGCAGGATGGTAATGAAATTTAAGTGAAGTTTATCATCTAAAGGGCTAACAAATCGGTTTGAAAAGATCGTTTCGATCAAGTCTCATCTGCAGTGCAAATTCCTCGGCCCAAATGGGATCTAATCCGGGACCTCGCAGGTGGAGTGCACGCGTGAGATCCACTTGTCCATTGACAGCTAATCAGACCGTTTCACTGTCCCTACAACAAATCGTGCAAGCTTATTGCAAGTACCCGAACGGGGTTACCATGGCTTCATCAAAGTTGATTTTCATACAGCAAAAACAGAATAACCTACACCGTCACGCAAACTAGAACTGTTTTTCCTTGCCACTTTTTTACTTTTCCAGTTGTTACCCTGTTCACCCTCAGTCTTTTCAATATATTTGTTTGACGTATTTGTCCTCGTTTTATTCCTTTTCACAAGTGGTCCGGATTCAGTTTGCCGGAACTTACTATATTTTTGGGCATCCTAAATCAAGAGGAAGCCGACTATCGTCGTCGTATTGAAATGAAATTCGAAGTACGCCGCAAAGAAATATTACGGTTGATGGCTTTATACGAAAACAGTGAAACCACCGGGAGCACAGATACCGAATCGACCGTTTGTACAACGCTCATCCGTGAAGTTTCCGATGGCGAAGCGGACATGCCACGCGGTCCTTCAGATTCTTTGTCCACTCCAGCTTCTCCTTTGTTACACTCTCGTAAGGGTGTTCTCGATTCAGGTAAGTTGATCCGGCGAAAGACTTTTCTACTCCCTTTATTCCTAAGTGAACGGAACAGCTGTTGGTTTTCTCATTTTTTTCAGTTTCCATCAGTGGCATACAACCTCGCTACCGTCTTGTTGCATACTCTCTTTCTGT